TCCGGGAAAGTTTTGCAATTCCCCCCCTGTAACATGTTGGGATCAAACAATATAATTACCTAGACTTTGGGGGGGGGGGGGCTGAACCCCCCCGAGCCCCCCCCCCCCCCCGGCTACATGCCTGACACTGATTGACACCGCTACATGCCTGCCTATGCAATCTATGATGGTATGATTCGCGGACCCCTTGGTATGCAGTGATGCAATGAGTTCATCACTCTAAGCGTCTAGCTCTATGTTCCCTTCCTTTGGGTTAGCAATGGACAGCGCCCCCATGGAGGGAAAAGGAGGAAGGAAGGCGGGTCCGGCACAACCTAACCTGATGCGGAGGGGCGTGGCCAGTACAGAGGCGGTGGCTGGCTGCAACTGCCTCGGCGGCGAGGAGCAGGTTTGGTTGCGATGGCAGCAGGGCTGGGTCGGTGAGCGAGGAGGGCGCGGCGGTTGCCCGGAGCGAGCCCTGCCTGCCCGCCCTCCCTCCCTGCCTCCCGGCCCCGGGGGCCAACATGATGCCCTAGCAGCGCTGGGAGCCATGTCGGAAGCGGCCCGGAGCCTCCTGCAGCGCTGGGGCGCCAGCTTCAGGAAAGGGACCGACTTCGACTCCTGGGGGCAGCTGGTGGAGGCCACCGACGAGTATCAGATGTGAGTCAGGCGGGGGGAGGAGGAGGAGGCCTTGGCTGGAGCTTGATCCTGAGCCGGGCATCTCCACTGTCAAACTAATGAGGTTGGACACCACTTCAACTGCCATGGCTCAGTGTTATGGAATCCTGGGAGTTTTAGTTTTACAGGGTGCCAAAGAGTGAAGGTGCTAAACTACAAATGCCAGGATTCCATCACATTCAGCCATGGCAGTTCAAGTGGGGTCAATGTAGATGCAAGACCAACAACTGTGCCATCCCACTCCTGGCAGAGATAGAACATCTGTTTTGCTTTTCTAGGTTTCATCTACACTGTGGAATTAATTTAGTTTAATGTCACTTGAACTGCCATGGGACAATGCGATAGAATCTTGGGAATTGTAATTTGCACTATTTGGCAGATAATAGACCTTGTTAATAATAATAATAATAATAATACCTTTATTTATACCCCGCTACCATCTCCTGCAGGACTCGGTGCAGCTTACAAGACGCTGAGCCCAAATACATCAGAAACAAAAAACACAACAACAACAATACAACAATAAATAACTCATAGCAAAGCAAAACAATAACAAAAATCACAAGTACAACTCCCAGGATTCCATCGCACGGAGCCATGGCAGTTCAAGTGGTGTCGAACTGAATTAGTTCAACAGTGCAGATACACCCTAGAAAAGCAGCTCTGGAAGGGGGAACATCAACAGGCTTCAGAGAGAGGAAACATCATAATAAAAACAATGGGTTGCTGTAAGTTTTCCGGGCTGTATGGCCATGTTCCAGAAGCATTCTCTTCTGATGTTTCGCCTGCATCTATGGCAGGCATCCTCAGAGGTTGTGAGGTCTGTTGGAAACTAGGAAAATGTAGTGTCTATATCTGTGGAATGTCAAGGGTGGGGAAAAGAACTCTTGTCTGTTGGAGCTAGGTGTGAATGTTTCCTTTGGCCACCTTGATTAACATTTGATGGCCTAGAAATTCTCAAGGTGTGACGTCTTACTGCCTGTGAGCATGCTTTGTTGAGATGCTATTAGCAAGACAACTGTCCTTTCTTCTACCCTGAACATTCCACAAATATATAAACCCAATTTTCCTAGTTTCCAACAGACATCACAACCTCTGAGGATGTCTGCCATAGATGCAGGTGAAACATCAGGAGAGAATACTTCTGAAACATGACCATACAGCCCGAAAACCTTACAGCAACCCAGTGTTCCAGCCAAGAAAGCCTTCAACAACACAATAAAAACAATAACACTTGCAGCAATAATAATAATAATAATAATAATAATAATAATAATAATAATAAATGCTTGGGAAGTGTTTGACATGTGATTTTGTGATTCGAAATCCAGCATATATATCTCATTTGCTGTGACATACTGTGTTTTTGTGTCAATAAAATAATAATACAGAGAAGCTGTAGTGAATGTGAACTTTGAAAAAGGAGGATAAAGGCTTGATTCTTGCAGCCCAAGAACAAGCAATTAGAACAAATGCCATCAAAGCCAAAATTGAAAAGTGAACTACAGATCCCAAGTGTAGATTCCTCAAGGAAGCAGATGAAACAATGGATCACACACTCAGCTGCTGCAAGAAGATCGCACAGACGGACTACGAGCAGAGGCATAATACTGTTGCTCAGATGATCCATTGGAACTTGTGCCACAAATACCATCTGCCTGTGACAAAAACCTGGTGAAATCACAAGCCTAAAAAAGTTATAGAAAGTGAACATGTCAAACTACTCTTGAACTTCGGAATTCAGACTGACAGAGTTTTGGAGTACAATACTCTACCTCCTTACCTCACAATCGTGGAAAAAAACGATGTGTGGATCATCGATGTTGCAGTCCCAGGTGACAACAGAATTGAAGAGAAGCAACTGGAAAAGCTGACATGCTATGAGGATTTAAAGATCGAATTGCAGAGACTTTGATACAAGCCAGTAAAGATGGTCCCAGTGGTGATTGGAACACTGGGTGCAGTGCCTAACCTTGGCCAGTACTTAAAAACAACTGGCGCTGACAGAATTACCATCTGTCAGTTGCAAAAGGCTACCTATTCAGATCTGTATGCATTATTCACCAATACATCACTCAGTCCTAGTCACTTGGGAAGTGTCCTACATGTGATCAAATACAAAAGCCAGCATAGTGATTTTGTTTGTTGTATACTAATCTTGTTGTGTATCAAATAATGCAGAAAAGCTGGAGTGAATGTAGAGACTAAGACTTTTGTTTTGGTGGGAAAATGGTCCTGCCTCCTGTGAGGAGCCTTTGGTAGTGGCTTCCTTTCCCAGGTCTGGTTCACTGAATGCATCTAACACTGTAGAATGAATGCAGCTTGAAACCATTTCAACTTCCATGACTGCATGCTACAAAATCCTGGGATTTGTAGTTTGATGGAGAACTTCCATTCTTTGGCGAAGAAGGCTCAATACCGTGTAAAGTTACAACTTCCTGAATTCCATAGCATTGAGTCATTGCAGTTAACATGGTGTCAAACTGCATTAATTATACAATATAGAATATGCACACAAAGAAAAACCATATATTATCATATATCAGAGGTTCTCAACTTATGGGTCCCCAGATGTTTTGGCCTTCAACTCCCAGAAATCTTTATTGTTGTTCATTCTTTCAGTCGTTTCTGACTCTTCGTGACTTCATGGACCAGTCCACGCCAGAGCTCCCAGTCTGTTGTCACCACCCCCAGCTCCTTCAAGGTCAATCCAGTCACTTCAAGGATACCATCCATGCATCTTTCTCTTGGTCGGCCCCTCTTCCTTTTTCCTTCCATTTTCCCCAGCATAATTGTCTTCTCTAAGCTTTCCTTTCTTCTCATGATGTGGCCAAAGTACTTCATCTTTCTCTCTACTATTCTTCCCTCCAATGAGCAGTCAGACTTTATTTCTTGAAGTATGGTCTGGTTGGATCTTCTCGCTGTCCAAGGCACTCTCAGCACTTTCCTCCAACTCCTTTCCTCCAACACCACAGAAATCTTAACAGTTGGTAAACTGGCTGGGTTTTCTAGGAGTTGTAGGCCAAAACGCCTGGGGACCCACAGGTCGAGAACCACTGCCGTATATCAACAAGTAACCTGAAGGCACATAACTGAATTGAGACTTAGGAGTTTTCAGTTTTATTAATCATTTGCCGAGGAAGTTGTGACTGATATTGTTGGCTTGAATGACTAATAAAGGCTAGAAAACAGCATATATATTTTATGCTTACAGAATTTATTGGTTTTAAAACAGATGGCCACTCCAATTTCATATCAAGGAGCATGTAAATAAAGGAACACCTGGCAAAGCCTTTTCCAGGTCTCTTACAGCAAGTATATTGCCTATCGTAATATTATGGTGCATACTGTTGAATAACAGTCGGGCGATTTTACTTTTCTCTAGAATCTCGAGATCCTCCAATGCAACTCTGGTTGATGTCTGATAGACACTGACTAGTATAGAGTCATGCTGGAGGACCTAGAGATTCCTAGAGAAAAGTACTCTGGGCATTTAAAGGTCCTAGGGATTCTTTAACATGAGGTCCTAGGGATTTAACCTGAAAGAGATATTCTTTCATGTTAAAAGATAGTGTTTTATTTTCCCACTGTCACTGGGGTCCTGCACCCGTAACTTCAGCAGATGTAAATAAATAAATGTGGAGCGGTGAGGGTACAGTGGAAACTTAGGCAAAGTTATACTTTATGCATCTTCTCAGGCTCAGACATTTACTTCACACTGCAAGGCCTATAAAAATAAAGATTGAGACTACTGTCAAACAAATTGAATATTTCTGGAAGGCCTGTGTGAGAAAATGGCCATGAGCTGTGTCATAAAACACTATTTTTTCATCATTTAGAGTATGCAACATTGAGGACATCAGTACATGTCAGCAATTAAAACGGCATGACCACAGGCACTGTCTGAATCAAGAATGTAGTCAGTGATCTGTTGTAACAAATAAATCACATTCAAAGATTCCTCTGTTATGGTTTTCCGTAAATCATGTTTTGAACAGCTATTAAACTGCAAAATGTGTTGTTCTATATTTCCAGAGTTGCTTCAATTGCATCCTACTCCACTTGATAATTTTTCTCTCTTGATCTCAAAAGAGATGCTTTATGAATATTCAGCAGGAGAGGAGTGACTAGTGTAGAATATTCAGCAGGAGAGGAGTGACTAGTGGAGAAGCGCAGGGTTCTGTCCTGGGTCTGATGTTATTTATTAGTTTTATAGCAAGCATGTTCATCAAATTTGAAGACAACATCAAAATAAAGGAGGTAGCTAGGACAGGATTCAAATTCAAAATTTATAATTACCTTGACAGATTGTAGAACTGGGTTTAAACATCTAATGTTATTGTTATTACGTACTGCATTATTCTCAAAGTGGTACACAAAGACACAAAGTGGTAAACAGTGGTAAAACAATAAATATGCAAACCTAAAAACTATAAACCTAGTACTATCTAGAAATAAGTAATTAAAACCCCCACTTAAAAAGTTTGAGGACCTTTGCTCTAGTCCCTACTAGCCAGGTTTGAGACGGGGGTGGGACTGAGAGGAGAGCCTCCTCAATGAACGCAGTGTCTAGAGAGATACATATGAATAGAGTCAGTTGATCAGGTAGTCTGACACCATGCGATGTATCCTGACTTGGTCTTACACTTTTTTCTTCTTTAAAAGCTTGCCTGAATAAAACTAACAAAATTAATTTCAGCAGGAATCAATATAAGATACTGCATCTAGACAGGAAAACTGAAATGCCTAGATATAAGATAGTGACATCTGGCTCGAAAGCAGTACATGTGAAAATGATCTAGTGTTCTTAGAGTCCAAACTAAGCATAAATTAACAGGGTGATGTGGTTGCCAAAAAGCCAATGCAATTCTGGATTGCATTTAAATAATTTCTGATAACAATGTAACAATTATGTAGGGTAATCTACCATGTTAATTAGTTTGAGTTGATTAATACTCTTCAACAAAGGTATGTCATATTCTATCCTGTCAAGCGAAAGAGAAGTAAGAAATTTTGACATCTTTTTCAAAGGCGGGATTTATGCCTAAACTGTGCATCACTTCTGGTGACTAGGTCTAATAGCGCCTGTGAAAGGTCTTTTTTATCTATCCTGCCATTATCCTGCTGGATTTACCTGTAATTGGAAATAAGAAATGTCCCCTCCCACATTACAGTGATTTTTTTCAAAGACCAATGTTAGCAGTTCATTACTGTTATACATCCTCTAATGCATTTGTCTAGAGCCAATTCAGGCATTAAGCTGACAAAAGTTCTCCACCCTGGTATATATAATCCCATGGCAATTTGCATTGTTTATTCTGTGTTTTTGTTTTTGTTAAGGCTAAACACAGTGACCGTTTCTAAGTCCAAATGATAAAAAGTTTCACTCCCTGCAATGTTGATGGTTTCTGTTAAAATTGTTATTTTTCCACCTTACATGTTTTCTCAAGTGGTCAAAACAAAGATCTAATTGTCATCTGAATTCAGTAGCTTACATCTCTATTTTTAAAACTGGTCATAAATATAATTATGTAGATAAAACCAATGCATTTGAATAATTAAATATTAATATAGCACACATTAAAGCAGGAAGGAGAAATCTTTCTAACTTGGGGGCCGTATGGCGGGCTAGAGCAGGGTAGGCAGGCTGGGAGGATGATCCCACACTGAGAAAGCCCTTTCTCTCGTCCCCAAAATGTCTATAATGTTTTTTATGTTTTTACCAATGCATGTTTTACTTGTTGTAACATAGCTTTGGTTCTAGTTTGGGAAAGAGGTGGGATATAAATATAATATCATTATTGTAAATTCATTATGATATTCCTAGTGTATGTTGTATGTTTGTAAACACACACACAAGTTCCATAGGGAAACATTCTGGGCTTACAAAATATGGATAGCTATCTAAAATTGCACATCTTCTGTTATGATCCTAAATGTTGCAAAACACTTAATTGGGTATTTGTTTCTTTTCCTTCATTCAGATTAGCGAGGCATTTACAGAAGGAAGCTCAGTCTCAGCCTAACAATTCAGAATTCACAGAAGATCAAAAGGTACATAATGGTGTGTGTTCATTTGGTAATGGGATACTTTTTGCAAGAAGTCTTTGATTCTTTCCTTGCTGTAACTGGGAGAAGTTATTCAGAGAACAGAACCTTTTCCCAGAAGGTTAATCCATGGGGAAATGAAATGGTATTGTTGGTCTGAAGATTCGAAGTTAGAGTGATTTCTTGCCAGAATTTCTATGAAGGATCCATCTGCACAACTCTGGAATTGCAGATAAATCCTTCATAGAAATTCTGGCAAGAAATGAGTGGAATTTATTTTAAAGGAAAAACAAAATCTGCATTTCCATATTCATAACATGTATTAGTAGTTGAGGAGCCAGCATAGTGTAGTGATTTTGGAATTGAACTGCAACTGTGGAGACCAGGATTTGAAAGTCCTCTTGGCCATGAGAATGCAGTGGAAACCCTGTCAGCCTCAGACTCTTCTGAACAAATCTTGCCAAGAAAATCCTGTGATAGGGTTACTTTGGGGTCATAATAAGTTGATGCCAACTCTTCTGCCATGTGTTAAATGTTCATCAGATGCCCCAGACAAACTTCTTCCTTCCCCTTTAACTCCAGTTGTTTTGGAGTTGGAAGACCAAGGGTTAAGTATTTTGGACCAACTACAATTATGGAAAGATGGTACTCAAGTGCGGAGATGTAGTTGTTTGGCTGAGAAGAGGGCCATCAGGTGGGAGCACTTGAGAGAGTTTCATAAATATCTGAAGTCTGGAATACCTAGCTGCTGGTAGTAATGTTGGTTTTTGAGCTGCAGCCTTCTGTCTTACCAAACAAGTCTTAGTTAACACTCTCTTCAATGTTTTCTACATCAAAGAAGTTCGAATTGCTTGGAGATCATGGAGACTAGATCTGAATAGCTTGTGCATCATCCTAAGCCAAATGTGATAATTGTGGATGCCGTGCAGTCTAGATTCTAGAACATCATACAAGCTGTATTCCACTGCAGCAGACAAAGAAGGAGAGCATTTGCACATTATTGTATGCAGGTTCTTTGCAAGTTCAGCCCTCATCTTCCATATAACCAATTATAGTGCCTTCATTGCTGCATGCCAGCAGTTTTTGTGGAATAAACATTCCCCCTTCCTTGACCATCTTCCTGAGGATAGATGGATTGTGAGCATACTCCACCATGCCTGAATAGCAAATAACAACTGCACAACAGATGGCAGATTGTAGTGTGGGAAAGCCCTTGCCAGAGCAGTTTTTCCTCTGTTGCTATACTTGGTTGAATACTTCAGCTTTGTTCAGCAAGCATAGGTAACTATGAAAGATCTCCTTTTTAGTGATGCAGATCTATTCTTCTATTGATGAAAAATAGAAGTGTAATCACAGAACAAGGTCTACTGCAAAAAAAACCTTAATCACAGTGTCTAGATCACATTTTCACAAATACTTCTTCTGCAAATTGCCTTTGCAGAAGCTGTGCTGACTCCATTTCAACAGTTTTGTCCTTTATCATGCCTGATGATTTTATATTTACCTCCACTTTTCACTGATTTACCTGGACAGTTAACTGATCTATAGTTGCTTGGACCTCAATCTCTTTTTTAAAACTGGTACCACATTGGCCATTCTGCATTCCTTTGATACAGAGACTAGTTCTAGGGATGTGTTACATATTCTAGTAAGAAGATAAACAGCTTCACTTTTGAGGTTTTTTTTTTTTAACCCAAAACCTCTCAGGTGGATACCATTGGATCTGATCATATATTCCTTTGTATTTTGTCACGGAGATCCTTCTCCTCCTCTCACTTCTGCCTGACTCAGAACCTCCTGGAAAGCTTAAATCAGGCATGGATATCTCTCCTGTACCTTCAGATACTGTTACATGTGGTCTAAGAGAACTGCTGTGATGCATTTCTCATTATTTATGTTTTTGAATACTTCAAAGATTTTCTTTTATGTTATCACTTTTGTATAGTTGAACATGGTTACAAAGCATCACATCACTTCTTTTTTCAGGCTTATGAATTACTGGTGTTATATTAATATTGTTTGAGTGCCATACTATGAGTTTGCCATTTGGGGAATAGCATTGAAAATACAGTAGACTATCAAAAGTTATAACTAGAGTGAGAGGGCAGGGGTTCTTAAAGTCAGTACTACGGAAAGTGGTGGTTTGTGGATTTGTGCCTGTCCCGAGCCATCTGCTACAACTTCCTAGAGAACTTCTAGAAAAGAAATAGTTGTACCCAGTGGGAAAAATATATTACTGATCTGTTGTATTCCATTGCCCAAATATATATGCAGGTTGGGATTGAACCAGTAGTGATAACATTCAGTGCTATGCTGTTCTCAAGCTGGATGTAGCTAATAACTATCCTTCATGCTTTCTTTTCTATCGGTCTCAGTACAGTCCCTCAGCAATAGGATGGGTGGAAGTATTTTGTTTAAAGATGGTGCTACATTATTTTTTCTTATATTGCTTAGAAAGTGAACGTTTTGTATCTGATAAGCATGTAGAGGACTGCGTGCTAAAAAGCTTAGGGTGGAGAGCATGAGGGAAGGCAAAATTAGCAGATCAGGGACCCCTTCCCTTTTGTATAGAGGGATTTTGTCTTTTCTAAGCCTCTGTGGGATCCCTTTTGTTGTGCACTGCATTCTCATGCAGACAGACCATAAAGAGTAAATGTGATGTGGGATGAGAACAGAACTCCTTGCCTTATCAAAACATGTCCTGGGAAGGCTCAGAAATACAGTCACAGCAGGGAAGCTGAAATACCCTGCGACAATATTGGTTTATCTATCTATTGCCCTTCTTCCCTAAGGGCTGAGGAACAGATGTTAATACCAGATGCATTCCATCACTGATTATAACTATACATGACTACTCTAATTCAAGGATTTGTATTAATCTTATCCTCCTTTTCTTATTTCTCTGGAGGCATTTAATGCTTCTTGCTTTAAACCCCAAGAGATGATCTCTGAAAGCACTGCTTTCATTGGCATATTCTTGAATGGCAAGGGGTAGGCTTGATGGGCCTCAAAGTCTGATACAACTTTTATGATTTTGTGAATTCTTTTTATTTTGCTACGAAAATCTAACTATTGAGAATAGAAATTGTGTCCTAGTAATTAGGAGACGTCTTTTGCCAATGCCTCCTGGGTTTATATGGATCAGATGTTCCGGCCAAAGAAGGTGTTCAGATCTGAAAAGGAACAGGTCACAAGCAGCAAGTAAGACCAGAAAAGAATAACCCCACAGAGAAGCGCATAGGGTACAAGGGATGGACAAACACAATGGATTTGGATTTGGAGTGAGGCTGTGAACCTTTCAGCAATATTTCCTACTTCTTTGAATGTAGGAAAAATGTAGGTCACATTCTGGTGTTCAAATGGTGACAACCCTGTTTTCCTTGCACTAGTTGAATCTCTTTTGTTGGCTCATTCCTTCTGGCTGATTACACTTACTTTCCCATTCTGTGGTTGTGACCTCTTAAGTCCCTGGCTGTTGTGGAAGGGTTTTTTCTTCTTGATTTTTCCGTTATACTTGTCTGTGTGAAGTCATTAAAATCTTGTTTTGTGACAAGCTAGCCATTATTGAAGTACACATACAGCCATCAACTAACAAAACAATAGTTTAATTAGTGACTTAAGCCTCTAACCAAGCAAAATTCCAGCTGTACTATAAACCTTTTTGCAAGAAGTCTGTAATACATTTGTTAGCACAAGCATTGCTTGCACAGCATAGCTGGTGGTTAATGTATCCAGTACTGGTTAGGCACTGTCTTAAAATTTCATTTTGACATCAGCTGGCAATGAAGATCCTCCAGGCAGAGCTCATTACAAACTTTAATGCATTTACCGAAATTTTTATGTTTTCATTGTTGAAAAATGAAGCAATTTGCTGGAGATAATAATACTTGGGGAAAATGCTAGCTGAAATGTATTGTTTCTTTCTTTAAAAAAACACATTTGCATTGGGTGTGGTTCCTGAGAAACAGTTATGAATAATACTTGCTGGTATCTTGCCACCATTCAATAGATGTCTTCTCACCAAAAAACAAAAAACAAACACCCAAATTCTTTTAACTCCAAATTTCTCCTGAGCAAATCTGAATGTGTTATCATTTGTTCAACTCTCAAATGTCTTCAAACATTGTTTTAAATCTTTCTGCTTCCCAACAAAGAGCAGCTGGTAGGTTCCAGCTGTTGTAATGCTCTAATTTCGGGAGAGGAAACATGGCTGTAAGCATTGCTCTTAAGCCAGGAAAGGAAAGCAGGCTGATATCTTATTTACCTCTGGCACTGTGCAGCAGGGGATCAGAAGGAATGTAAAGGGAGGGAAAAGGACAAAACATATTTATCTTTTTGCATCATACTCTGTTAGTAAAGCTTTTAATACTATGATTTTAATTCATAATAATTTTACACTTGTTTTTTTCTGTTAGAGGTGACCCTGGTGTGGAAGCATTGAATCAGAAAGGATTGCAAAAGCTATCAGTGTTTCTCAACCTGTGGGTCCCCAGATGTTTTGGCCGACAACTCCCAGAAACCCCATCTAGTTTGCCAGTTGTTAGGATTTCTGGGAGCTGAAGGCCAAAGCATCTGGGGAACCACAGGTTGAGAACCACTGATCTAGACCAGCACCCTGCCCATGCAGGATATAGATGTAAAGTATTCCCAAATGATGGTGTCCACTGCTGTTCAAGGCATTCCATTTCACTGTTGAACAATTCTTTAAAGAAGTTATTCCTGATGTTTACTTCGAATTTCTCTTTCTGTCTCTGTTTGTGTCTCTGTATGTCTTTCTTACTTACTTGCTTGCACTTGAATCCATTGATTCATGTCCTAGTCACTGGAGCAGTAGAAAAAAAAGCTTGTGTCTGCTACATGACATTCCTTCATATATTTAAAGATTAGCCATCTCAGTCATCTCATTTCTCAGTTATCTCTTCTCCAAACTTGCTCCTTAACCCATTCCTCATAGGGCTTTTATCTCTTACCCTTTCAATCACTCTTCTCAAGACCCATTCCAGCTTGAATTCTAGTAGCCAGGTGAGTTTGACTAAATGAGAATAGAGTTTTGGCACTGTGACCCTGTTAATGCAACCTAGAATTTCATTCCTTTTTCTTTTTTTTTTACTTCTACATCATCCTATGAATTATTCATAGCGAAAATAAGACTCCTTGTTCTTTTTCCATGTCAAGCCAGGGGTCTCCTCATTTATACATTCCTTGCCTTAATGCCTTAAATTTATTCCTGTTGAAATTCATTTTGTTAATTAACTCTTTTATTTTATTTATTTACAACAGCTCCCAAATTGTCATATTGAATCCGATCCTGTCCTCTGGAGCTTTAGCTACCCCTCCAGATTTGGTGTTATCTCCCAACTGGATAAGTGTGCCCTGTATTCTGTCATCCAGGTTACTTATAAAGGTGCCGTATAACACTGGGCCTAGGACCGAATCCTAGAGTGCTCCACTTCCTCCAGATGAGGACGAACCATTAGTGAGCACTCTTTGGATTTAGTCAGTCTATCAGTAAAAAAACCTACCCAACAATAACACAATCTTCCCCTGATTTTAGTAACTCATCTGTAAGAATAACATGGGGCACTTTGTATAAGATGTCATTATACTCCTAAACACACAGGTATTGCACAACTGAACTCTCATGCCAAAGTGTATATGATTGATGCAGGCCTGTGATTGAAATATACAAAATTGTAATGTGGCAAACCACTCTCAGAAACGTATGTCTGTCTTGCTTACTATTGCCTATGTAATTTTGATAGTTACAGTGCTATCACTTAGCAAGATTAGATTGGTGACTGCAATCCAGAGCCTAGTGTAGAAGAGATTAGTGTTCAGGTTTAAAGGCATTATTCTAGCGGAAGAAATTGAATTTGCCAACTTTTTCTTTTGCAGAAAACCTTAGGTAAAATTGCAACATGCTTGGAACTCAGGAGTGCAGCATTGCAGGTACCATTTCACCCTACTATTTTTAAATTTCCTCATGTATTTTGGGCAATGTAAAATAACAAAGCACTCTGTTCATGAAAAAAAACCTTGTCATATGCATATATTGTATACTAGTTTGTTTAGTTCACAGAGCATGAAGCAAAGGCTTCATAAATAGGATGAATTAAAAAAAAACAGCAGTTAATCTCCAAAAAGAGGAAGATTTCACTATGGAAGGTGGTGATGGTGACTTTATACCAGTTTTATATCTTCAGTAGAAGAATTACATTACGCCATTCCCCAAACTTCCTGTCAAATGGCATCCAAGTCTTACCAGATGGACCCCATGGGATTCACATGAAGGGACTCTTGTTACCTGTATCCAAAAGAAAAGAAAAGTGCTTAGCAAAATGTCCTTTGGAGGTGGTTTGGGATGAGCACGGATTCTGGGTATACTTATGCCTTTTTGTCACCATTTCAGTTTCCTTTGCAGATATTGTGAAGGAAAGAAAATCATCATTCAAATATACACTTGGGAGAAACTTGGTTTCCTTTGGCCATGCTAAAGCATGCTGGGAACACTCCACACCGCTGTATATTAATCATAGTTTCACACAACAGTGAGATCAGTTGCACTCTGTGGCCTTGAGCTGGGATTTTAGATATGAAGCAACCTTATACTCCTGTAGGACTGTCAGGTCCTGTATTGTCTACTGTGCTTAAAGATGAAGATGAAACAATGAACCTTCTGTGTGCAAAGTGTACACTGGGCTTTTGAAATGCTTGGGCTGGAAGAGGAGTGGGGCATGAGCGTAGATGCATGTTTCCCTTGCCATGAGGAGGAGCAGGGGCCAGGCTATAATTTCTGAGAATTCTGAAGAATTTCTGCCAACATTTGAGAAAAGCTTAGAGATGTTTATATTGATGACATCCTACAAAAGAAAGAGATGGTGGACTTTGATCTCTAGTTGACTGGCATGCTTTCAACTCTTTCTACTTCACTTTGCTAAACTTTCCTGCTTGTTGAAATGGAAAGTACAGATAAAAGCCCTCTGGCCTACAGTATCCCTTTTTTTCTCTCGGTATGACATTGGGGCATTCAACTCCAGCTCTCATTGACTGTTGGAAGAAAGTCTTCAGAACCTGATTTTCCCATGCTTGTTTAGTGTAGTATATAGGTAGGTTCAGAGTGAAATTAAAAAATAAAGTCTGAGTAACTTAAAACAAAGGTCGTCCACTCCCCAGGGCCCAATTGAAAAGGCTGGACATTACCGATCTTGATGCAGTATGGTGGTACATGGAGACAATTTGCTACAATCAGGTGGCAATTCCAGACATAATTTTCTATTGACATAGAATCCGGCTTTGGTGATTTGGAAATTGCTTCTTTGCCACAAACATGTTCTTATGGTTGAAATTTCTATAGTGCAGCATACCTCAAGCTGTGTTCAGCCATTAGCTCTGCAAGTATTGGGCTTTGACCTCTGTCTTTTACACAAAATTAATTATTAAAATGCTAGTTGGATGTTTAGATAAAAGGATAGTTAATTCATTACATTTAGCAAAAAAACAAACAAACTATAGAATTGTTGGATTCCTGGTTTCCATTTTTTATTCTTCCTATTCCTACAAACTGGTGATGTGTGCTACTTCCTATTCCTACATCACTTTGATGTGTGCTACTTCCACTTTGTTTAGTACAAGGTCCTACCTGTCTGCTTTGATTTTGATGTTGCTGTTGGCCTTATTCTCTAGCCTGGAGTCTGATTTTAGTTTGATTCTAATCCTATAAACTCCATCTGAATCTTAGTTTTTCAAGCGGTTAACTGCTTTCCTCTTTGTTTAGTTGAATCATTGTGCGTATATGTTTTGGGAAATAGATAAATCAAATATGGAAAATGACCAGATGTTAATATACCAATCGGTAAAAGTTGACTTACTCATTGTAGGATACAAATTTATCTTTTTCTAAAGCATTACAGAATTGTTAAGGATGGAACAAAATGCTTTCCTCTTGCATATATGTAAATTGCAATAAAAGGACTTGGTGAACTTTTCAAAATTTATGGATAAAGCAGTCATAATTTAAATCATTAGAATTTTGTGTCTCAGCAGCTTTTTGCTTTTAGGTAAGCAATGCACTTAAAAATGAATAAAACAATTCACTGTCTTTGTTCTGTCTCCGTCAGAAACTTCAGGCAGAAGGAAAAAAAACATTGTTTTTCTCTTTGTGGCTGGCTCCTATAGTTATTAATACATATAGATATGTAACACTACTTTCTTTTTAGTCTACACAGTCCCAGGAGGAATTTAAGCTAGAGGATCTGAAGAAACTAGAGCCGAGTAAGTATCTTTCTTTTAAACAAGGAATATGTTTAAACAATTTCTAGCAGAGGGCTCAAACCACTATACAACACTGGTTCTCATTGTAGAAAATACAGTGTACAAGCAGTCCCTAAGTTACAGGCAGTCCCAAGATAGGTTCTGTAGGCTTAAGTTGTAGTCCTTAAGGTTCTGTAGTCCTTAAGTTGTGTTTGTTTGTACGTCAGAACAGCATATTTAAAAAATGTAACTTCAGCTATACACACACACACTTTGATAGCATAGGGAAGGGTTAACACCCTTGTAGTATTTGTTTAGCTCTCTGTGTCTCTGTTGAGAAGATTTAACCTCATTTCCTGTCCCTGTGATAACTGAATTTTGAAATTTTTGATTGATTGTGGAAACAAGAATTGGTGGTAAAGCTTCTGTGGAGATACCTTTTCCCCGTGATAACTCTTTCAGGAGTGAATTCCCCTTCCAAGGGTAAATTTCTCTCACTTCCTATGGTCTCACCCTCATTCATAACTATGAGTCGTTTCTAAGTCAAATGTTTGTAATTTGGGGACTGCCTGTAATTATTATTCCTATGACAGTTCAATGGTTCTATGACAACAACATTATGGAAACACTAATATTCACCTGTATAGTGTCATTTAGAAAGCCAACAGAGTGTAGTGGTATGAATGTTGGCCTAGGACACTGGGCTCAGTGGGTGAACATGAGCAAGTCACACTCTCTCATCCTCAGAGAAAGGCAAAGAGAAACCTTCTCTGAATAAATCTTGCCCATGAAACCCTAGGATAGGGTTGCCATAAGTCAGGAAACTAGAGGGTACATAACAATAGCATGAATGTTTTTCATCACAGATTTCACTACATCATGCTGAAATTTACTGGAGGGACTTTGTTAGCCCTGTGTCGTGTTCATTTGTGAGGAAAATGTGTTCTTTTCTGTTCCAAAAAGTTTTTTTTCAACCCAAAACTTTTTTTCGTAATGTGATATTTCAGGGGAATGTGCACTTAGATGTGGAAGAAATAAATGTTTTTGAAAAAGGACAAGAGTCAGAAAGATACTCAAAATGGCAGGAGTGGTGGAATAGTTTTGATAATATTTTCCATTTATGTTGATTTATATTTTAAGATCTGTCTTATGTGTTTTTATGCTTGAATGGAATGTGAGGGAGAAATTTGTTTCTTTCTCTCTGTTTTAACAGGTTTGTGCAGTGCTTTAGGTGATGGCATTTTGTTTGCATGTAAGAAAAAATGTGCTCATAATTTAACTCTACAATGACCTGGCTTTATTCTACAAATCGTTTTGATTTGTTTGAATCACTTTTGTCATCGGGCCCTTCCACACAGCCCTATATCCCAGAACATCAAGGCAGAAAACCCCTGAATATCTGCTTTGAACTGGGTTATCTGGGTCCACACTCAGATAATGTGAAATCTTCTGCTTTGATCTTCTGGGATATAGGGCTGTGTGGAAGGGCCCATAGAAGTCAGGTAACTGCATGGCTTTTGAACTGTGCTGTTATAAGAGTGCAAAACAGGAAGCCTCTGTCTCTCTGTTTCATTATATGTTGATGTGACTTCTTGATTCTGTTTTTCTTCTGTTGCAGTCTTAAAGAATATTTTTACCTACAATAAAGAATTCCCCTTTGATGTTCAGCCTGTTCCACCAAGGTAAGGACAAATTAAAACAGTAATGTACATGCAGAAGGGTTTGGAAATCCATGCAAGAAATGGTGGGATACAGAATTCTTTGGAATCATTCCTGAATTTCTGACTTCCCGTCTGAATAATTATCCATGTTTTGCCTCAACACATTCTGATCATGCAAGCATTTTTCTGAATTGGGCTGAGGCATTTGGTAATGAAGATCCCTGTTTTCTCCATCCTCAATTGTGTGGCGTTTGTGTGTTTTAAAGGAAGATCTTGGCACCTGGGGAAGAGGAAGACTTAGAATTTGAAGAAGATGAGGAGGAGGGCGGGGCTGGAGCAGGATCTCCAGATACATTTTCTGCCAGAGTTCCAGGTAGGGGACATGTTTTTTTTCTTCAAATACTGTTATTGCTACTGTTGTTTTTGTTATATTTATTTATACCCTTCTTTCCTCTCCATTTCGGGGTTGAGAAGTATACAAATACTTCAAATAATTAATAAATAAAATGGAGTGTGAGGATAAAGGAGAAAGGATTTGCTGAAGAGATGTGCCAATTTACCTCTAATTGTGAACAGAATTTCTGATTTGGTTGTATGCACAATAACAGTTTTTAGCTGTCGTTTACTAGCCTGAGTGAAACCTATTTTATGAGTCAAGAATGGCAAGAATCTGCTAAATGTGTGGTAGTTCTTGTCTTACTGGGGATCCTGTGCATATCCTTCAGCCAAACTTCCACATAAACTGGATCAACAATTGTGCTATTTTATCAAAGTTAATTTAGAATGGATCCTGGCAACTCTCTCTGCAAAGTAGTGGGCAAATTAATCACAGTAGGCTGTCAGATTATCTGAATTATTTTTAAAAGACACCCAGCCATTCGGAACAGCTTCATTGGATCACTCTTTACATAAACAATGGTGGCAGGAAGATGATTTTGGAGACTGCGTTGTCATGCCACTTCAAATAGGCTGTACCCCTTGTTCAATCAGACTTTCTCCTCTACTTTTCTGCCAATGTTGCTATAGTTGGCATCTTGCTTATTTTCTCAAGGACAATTTCCTACATTAGAGGTTCTCAAACTTTCTTCATTTGTAGAGCCCTTTTTGATGCAAAAGTTTATCAAAGAGTCCAAAGAAATGTTTATATATTATATTTTATAGATAAAGGTAAAGGTTGCCCCTTGACATTAAGTCTAGTTGTGTCCGACTCTGGGGGGTGGTGCTCATCTCCATTTCTAAACTGAAGAGCTGGCGTTGCACAGGGTCCTTACAACAAATTGGGTGTATATGTGATAGTTGTTTCTGAAATGGTCCTTTGGTCGCTAGTTTACACTCTCCATAAGTTGTATTCCTGCTTTTTGTGCATCATGGCAAAATGTGTATGTACATAGACATAATGTTGAAATACTGTTTAAAGAAGGGGGTTTGCATGAAACTATGAATGTTGAATTTTGAAGACATGGGATACAATTAGTTTCAATCAGCTACTTTATTGAATTGGGAACTTTAACTGTTCTTGCTTCATCTGTACAATCTGCTTTTTTCCATTCGTTTTGCATTATTGTGCTGCTTAACTGTACATGGTCTTGTCTTCTACATGCATGGCTTCATCGTGTAACCATGTTCTACATCATTCATCCAACCCAGGAGCCAATGAAGGTATGATAACATTTTAATGTGAACAGCAGTTACTTGTGAATATATTCATACTGCTGTGGCATTGTTCTTGTGCCTTAAATGGTAAAACTCTTTTATTCTAAAATCTGCAATCCTAATAAGTGTTTGCTCTATTCCCGTGTTCACAAAGAATTAAAAATAAAGTTTGAAACACTCCCAGATGACCAAATGCTTTACCATATTAAGCTCAAATGAAGTAAATCCACCTTTTGGGGAAAATAATTTGAGCCTTGCAGAGAAATATCTGAATATATTTGTACTCAATTGTAGTCTTGGACTAATCAAAACTGTAAATTGTTACCTTCAATAAAGTTGTATACAATATCTAGCTCAGGGTAAGTCATAATTTCCCTCTGTTGTTACCCATCTGCTGTTTTCTGGCCCCAAGGTTAGGAACTGCCTTAATTGGTTGCCCTTGATCATCATGAAACTTTGTTGGTTAGTTTTAATCTCATTGTAATTGATTAAATAGAAGTCTGCAGTTGTATCTTCAGGTAAAATTCAGCAATGATTCCATAAGCCTAAACTTATGCCCACTTTATTTATTTACCGTATTTATATTCCGCCCTTCTTACCCCACAGGGGACTCAGGGTGCATCACAGTGCACATATATATGGCAAATATTCAATCCCATAGACACACAACATATATAGACAGATACACAGAGGCTATTTAACTTTCAGCTTCATGGGGGCATGTTTGAATTCCAGCCACCGGGGGAGCTGTTGCTTCACTGTCCACTTGTGACACCGATGGAGTACTTCCTGGAGATTTTTATGGCATCGTAAGTTAGTTAAAATAGCCTCTCCGCATAAGCGGTACCTAAATTTCCTACTTGACAGATGCAACTGTTTTTTGGGCTGCAAAGGTCAACAACAAGCTAGACAAATAGTCAGGAGCTTACTCCGACCCAGGCGGGCTTCGAACTCATGGCCTTTCGGTCAGTAGTGATTTTAATACAGCTGACTCCCAACCAGCTGCGCCACAACCCCATTTAAATGAGCAACTTTAAAACTCAGATTTCGTAAGTTGTCGTTCAAGGTTTACTTCCAGCCTTAAGTGTGCTCTGGGAGTACATCTGGGGATTACTGCCAGAGCCAGTTGAACACATGTTTGTATCACTACTGAAAACTGTACACAACATCTCTAATTTGGTTGCTCAACATCTCTGGTTTATTTTCTTTCCAGGTACTTTATTACCCCAATTACCATCTGAACCCGGGATGACATTACTTACCATCAAAATAGAGAAAATTGGTCTTAAAGATGCAGGACAATGCATTGATCCCTACATCACAGTTAGCGTGAAAGGTAGTTCCTCATTTTGTTGGACTGATCAAGCATGAAGAGCGTGACCTGTGGACACTTCTGATTTGTGATCTGTGCCACTAGAATAGACTTGGCAATAATGAAACTATAGCACATGAAATTCCATACGACCTGGGAAGGCTGTCTCAGACCTAAAAGGCTCACAGTCCAATGTTCATAGAATTTTCAAACATATAGGGGCTGAACCCAGCTCCCCCTTGGCTATGTGAGGCAATTTCACCAAGTGTTGCCATACCAGTCTGTTTTAACCCCATTAGAGATCTTTTTTGTCGACCAGGAGGTGACAATGTGGCTGGAATGTGGTGACAAATATCCCTCTGGAGGTGGTTTTATCAGCCAAGTTTTACGCAAATACCAAAAAGGGAAAGTGCACAACTTTGCCTAACTTGTTAAAGCATTCAAGTAGATCCCCCATATGTAAATATTTGCTGACAGTGGAAATACTTAGATTGATGAATTGCTTGTAGCTGGCTCTTTTTCAAAGAAATAGGGCCATTTCAGCATATTGTTATTGAGAAGAAGCCTTTTAGTGTCCCCAGGAGACTCATGCAAGTCTCCCAATCTTTGCCATATGTTCAGCCCTGGCTTTAATGTTCTGAAAACTGCAGCAGCTTTTTTGTTTAGTGTGCCGACTTTCCCCCCTTTTCCCAACAGATCTCAATGGAATAGACCTGACTCCTGTGCAGGACACCCCCGTTGCTACAAGGAAAGAGGACACATACATTCATTTCTGTGTGGACATTGAAATTCAGAGACATGTTGAAAAACTAACAAAAGGTGGGTATGATTCCAAATTGAAGATCAGGTCCAAGTATGACTAATATATCAAGGCTGTGAATCAGAAGTTGGAAACTCACTCATCCTGAGGGCCATATCTCTTCTTACATTCAGGGGTTATGTGATGGCAAACCCAATGTGGCTTCAGTCATTTCTTCTTTTCCCCTCATCCACTTAAGGAATAGGCTTTTAAATAAGTCATTGCAGAGCTGGGGAGCAGCGTTGCCCAATTTAAAGAGGATGTACAGCAGGGTGCTTGAAAGGATTGTCAACCCAGGTGCCATCTCTCCTTTCCCCTTCTCCCTCCCAACATCCATCCATCCGTTTATCTTATCTGTGGGCTGCGGATCATCAGTGGGCCATGAGGCGAAAATCTGGTCGAGCCTCCTTCCTCTTTATTTATTTTATTTCAGCTCTTTTCACGCCGCCTGGCACTCCTTCCCTGTCACTGACCAGCCCTGACCCCTTGGATAGACTACATCACCTCTAGATTATTAAGTATAGTTTTCTGTGGGAGAGCAGATGGCGACTACTGGATGTGGTCTAACCAATGCAATTTTCTGAATCAGCACCCCAAATTACCAAACCAAATCTAAAGTTGACCAAAAACTGATTTGTAACTCTTTTGGTACTAATGTTTAGAGTGTGGTTCCTGGTCAAAGTGGTCCCTGATAAAAAAGAAAAAGGTTGGGAACCACTGACCTAACCTATGAGGGGCTGTCTAAAGACTAGGTGAGTTGTATTACCTGCTTCTGCTTTAGATCCTCGGTAAATGCTAAAAATCTAGAGCTGAGAGTGGAGTAGATTCCTTGTCTTGACTTTGTGTCAACTTTACAAATATTTCTATAAATATCACGGTATCATTTTATATTTAAGGCCCCCGGTGACACAGTGGGTTAAACCGCTGAGCTGCTAAACTTGTTGACTGAAAGGTCGCAGGTTCGAATCCGGGGAGCAGCGTGAGCTTCTGCTGTCAGCCCCAGCTTCTCCAACCTAGCAGTTTGAAAACATGCAAATATGAGTATATCAATAGGTACCGCTCCAGCGGGAAGTTAACAACGCTCCATGCATTCATGCTGGCCATATGACCTTGGAGGTGTCTACGGACAACATTGGCTCTTCAGCTTAAAAATGGAGATGAGCATCAACTCTGAGTCGGACACGACTGGACTTAATGTCAGGGGAAAACCTTTACCTTTTATACATCTTATATTTATAATACAAATTGCTGCCAATTTTTTAACCAATCCGACATTGTAATTTACGAAGTGTGATTGAGATTGATTTCCTTTCTCCTTCAGGTGCAGCTATTTTCTTTGAATTTAAACACTATAAACCTAAGAAAAGGTTCACCAGTACCAAATGCTTTGCCTTCATGGAAATGGATGAAATTAAACCTGGACCAATGGTTATAGAACTGTAAGTTGTCATCATGCTGATCTTTTGCATTCAGACCTCCTGGAATACAAATAACATACAGTTTATTTGGTCATGCCTTTGTATGTTGAAATGCAGAATTGCTACCCAGAGACTGATAAGACTGAAAAAGATGCTGACCAATTTCTGAAAACTGAGGAATATAGCTTTTTTCTTTATAGGTACTGCTCTGCAGTGCAGACTGTAATCTTCCATTTATGTAGCCTAAGGTAGATGACTTTCCTACAGTTGGGATCTCCTAAACCGTTGCGCAAACAAATGCACTGCATGGGTTTGAACCTCGTTTCTTTGAATCTAGTCTAGATTAGCTTATGTGCTTTTGCGTCTTGTCAGAAACTAAACAGAAGTGGATAGAATTTAGAGGCTGTAGCAAAGTAGCATTAACATCAGTTGTAACAATTTCCTGATTACAGATACAAAAAACCAACTGACTTCAAGAGGAAGAAACTTCAGTTGCTGACCAAGAAGCCACTTTATCTTCACCTTCATCAAACACTGCACAAAGAGTGACTTGTGAACTGAACTGCTTGGCACAGAATCGTAGTAGCTGCCTATGTAGCACTCATCCTTCAGCAGCTAGGAAGAATGGCTGCCTTTTACCCAGCTGGTCAAAGGGGACCATCATGGTGCTGCACAACAGTGGATCAGCAGCTGTGTCCCAGCATCGAAGTCCAGTTTTCTTTGGAATGTATATTTTTTATTACAGATGTTCCAAAGTGTATTGTGAATTCTTCATAACTGGACTAGTTGTGTGTGTTCCGTTTTGTAATTGTTTCTACACTTGCATCAGAACCTCTAAAGTGGTTGAGAAGTCATCATCTCCCCAATCAGATACAGCAATAAAGATGTGCCAGTATCAAACTTTTAATTCTTCCAGTGTTTAGCTTCTTTTATTCTGTAACTTTTCTACTAGTGGACTGATAATACTGGCTCTCTTTCTGGAAGCATTTAAGTTTTAAAAATAATAGATGAATATTTAATCATGAAGTGACTCCGTGTTAGGATACTGCATAGATTTCAACATATAATACTTATCAGCTGCTAAAAAGTTCTCTCTAAAACATCTACTTATCTAACACTGGAGTTTTGTTGAGCTGTTTCTGAAAAGCAAATAGACAATGTAACAGAGTTTAGTTCAGCTCTACAGAAAAACATATGTGGATATGTATGTGGGTTTTGGAAAGCAGCGGTTAAAATCATCCCATCTTGTGGCATCCATGTGCAAAATGATTGTAATTACAATTGTGTTAAAATGGATATTAATACAATTGGTAGAAGAGTTTTGCAGACCTCATTGTGTCACACAGAGCAGGACAACAGGAAATATCAAGCATTGGGAACCATCACCTCAGTGATGCAGGGAGAACTGAAGTATAACAATTCACTGTTGAGCAGAAATAAACAGGGAAGCAGAGGATGACATGGTCTTAAATGTCTCTGCTCTTACAGAGCATGGTAAATAATTAAGATGTACTTCATAGAATCATAGAATTGGAAGAGACCACATGGACCATCTAGTCCAATCCTCTGTCATGCAGGGAAAGCACAAAGTATCCCTGACAAATAGCCATCCAGCCTCGGTTTAAAATTTTCCAAGGGAAGAAGCTTCAACCACACTCCAAGGCAGAGAGTTCCACTATTGAACAGCCCTTACAGTCAGAAAGTTCTTCCTAATGTTCAGGTGGAATCTCCTTTCCTGTAATCTGAACCCATCGCTCCAAGTCCTAGTTTCAAGGGCAGCAGAAAACAAATCTGCTCCCTCTTCCTTATAACACCCTTTCACAGGGATAACACAGGAAAGCTGTTATGGGCATCCCTAAAACCTGATGAGATGAATCTCTTGACTGGAATGCAGTTAGCGAGATATAACCAATGCCAAACAAACAGACCAAATGGGAATGACCAAAGAGTATATGCAAAAGGATGCATATACCTGTGAGAAGATACATGGTATTATTTTTTTTTCCTTAGGGCTTGACCTTTCAAAGTATTATCTTAAATTTAATCTTATTGAATTCACTGCTGACCTTGTTTCACAATTTTTACCATTTTAACTTTAAATGACCACAAACTTGTGCTGCCCCACAATTTTGAAATTTAATGCAAATAACATAACTTCAGATGTTTTGCCATTTTCTCCCTCCCTATAAAAATGTCAATTTACATTTGCCCTACAACCTGCTCATAACTCCTGATCCATAAGAGAAGCTTATCCTGTGAGTGCTAAAGATTCCACAAATGCTATTTTTGAAGGACTGACTTTTAGCACAGGGTTAGCCCTGTGGATTATACTGCTGGCTGCACTATTTATTTATTTGTCGTGTCAGAGCAACCAGTCCATTATATATTACATTTCTAACAGAACAAAGCAAACAGACAGAAAAATACACAACTTGTGAGTTTGGTAGTTGGTTAAATGTCCTTTGACCAGTATCTGGCCACTTGGAGTGCTTCCGGTGTTGCTGCAAGAAGGTCCTCCATTGTGCATGTGGCAGGGCTCAGGTTGCATTGCAGCAGGTGGTCAGTGGTTTGCTCTTCTCCACACTCGCATGTCGTGGATTCCACTTTGTAGCCCCATTTCTGATTGGCTCTGCATCTCGTGGTGCCAGAGCGCAGTCTGTTCAGTGCCTTCCAAGTCGCCCAGTTTTCTGTGTGCCCAGGGGGGAGTCTCTCATTTGGTATCAGCCATTGGTTGAGGTGCTGGGTTTGAGCCTGCCACTTTTGGACTCTCGCTTGCTGAGGTGTTCCAGCGAGTGTCTCTGTAGATCTTAGAAAACTATGTCTAGATTTAAGTCGTTGGCGTGCTGGCTGATACCCAAACAGGGGATGAGCTGGAGATGTCTCTGCCTTGGTCCTTTCACTATTGGCTGCTACTTCCCGGCGGATGTCAGGTGGTGCAATACCGGCTAAGCAGTGTAATTTCTCCAGTGGTGTAGGGCGCAGACACCCGTGATAATGCGGCATGTCTCATTAAGAGCCACATCCACTGTTTTAGTGGTGAGATGTGTTCCACACTGGGCATGCATACTCAGCAGCAGAGTAGCAGCGCAAGGGCAGATGTCTTCACTGTGTCTGGTTGTGATCCCCAGGTTGTGCCAGTCAGCTTTCGTATGATATTGTTTCTAGCACCCACTTTTTGCTTGATGTTCAGGCAGTGCTTCTTGTATGTAAGAGCACGGTCCAGAGTGACTCCCAGGTATTTGGGTGCGCTGCAATGCTCCAGTGGGATTCCTTCCCAGGTGATCTTCAGAGCTCGGGATGCTTCTCTGTTCTTGAGATGAAAGGCACATGTCTGTGTTTTAGATGGGTTGGGGATCAGCTGGTTTTCCCTGTAATAGGCAGTAAGAGCACCTAGAGCTTCGGAAAGCTTCTGTTCTACCAACTCAAAGCTCCTTGCTTGAGCAGTAATGGCACGGTCATCAGCATAGATGAAACTCTCTGTCCCTTCTGGCAGTGGCTGGTCATTTGTGTAGATGTTGAACATGGATGGAGCAAGCACACTCCCCTGAGGCAGGCCGTTCTTCTGTTTCTGCCATCTGCTTCTCTGGCCCTGGAACTCAACAAAAAAGCTCCTGTTTTGTAGCAGGTTTCCTATGAGGCGGGTGAGGTGGTTGTCCTTTGTGATATTATACATTTTTCTCAGGAGGAGGAGGTGGTTCACAGTATCATAGGCTGCTGACAGGTCTATGAAGACAGCTCCTGTGATCTGCTGCCTTTCAAAGCCATCTTCTATGTGCTGAGTCAGGTTCAGCACTTGCGATGTGCAGCTTTTGCCTTTCCTGAAGCCAGCTTGCTGTGGGATCAGACAGGGGTCTATTTTTCCATAATTCTATGCAAAATAAGTCTCTCCAGAACTTTGTAGAGGTGGCACAACAGGGAGATTGGTCTGTAGCTTTTTGGGTCATTGCCTTTGCCTGGCTTCAAGATGGCTATGACTATGTCTTTGCAGACGGCTGATTCTCTCAATCCAGAAGAAACCAGAGACGACTTGCAGCATGCAAGCAAGCAAGCAAAACAACCAACGGACCTTTTCAGGACCAACCATGACAATAATCTCTATCAACATCGAAGGTATGTCAGCTGCCAAAGAGCAACTGCTCTATGAACTGTGCCGAGATAAGAAATGCGATGTGCTGTGTGTCCAAGAAACACACAGGGATGAACAACAGAAACGACCCAAAGTTCCAGGAATGGTCTTAGTAGCAGAAAGACCACATGCGCAGTATGGAAGCGCCGTCTTTGTCAAACCAGGCCTCCAAGTCAGCAGTGCCCACAACACTGAAGAAAACAATATAGAGGTTATAACAGTAGAGCTTAATAACATCACCATCACCTCTGTGTACAAACCCCCAAATGAAGAGTTCTGCTTCTCCTCCCCCGAGAATTTTGATAGGCACCAAAGGGCGGTAGTAATTGGTGACTTTAACAGCCATAGCCACGTATGGGGCTATGCCCAAGAAGATAAAAATGGAGAGGCTGTCCTCTCCTGGTCTGAACTGCACAAACTATCACTCATCCATGATAGCAAGCTCCCCCCATCCTACAACAGCGGGAGATGGCACCGAGGTTATAACCCAGACCTCTTATTTGTGAGCGACAGCATCGTACAGCAATGCACTAAATCAGTGGGACCACCAATCCCAAACACACAGCACCGACCAATAATATGCCAACTGTTCCCAACAATAAGGCCTCAGGAAGTTCGATTTAAACGAAGATACAACTTCAGAAAGGCAGATTGGACTAAATTCTCAGACATGTTAGATGACATGATCACATCGGTCGCGCCAATCCCTGAGGAATACGAGCACTTTATTGAAATCGTGAAAACCTGCTCACGGGCCTCTATACCGAGAGGCTGCAGAACCAACTACCTTCAGGGCATTACCCCTGAAACAGCTGCCTTGTTGGAAAACTATTACAGGCTCCACAACGAAGACCCATTTAGTGAGCAAACCCTTCAGGCAGCGCAGAGCATTGTGTCCTCCATCTCCGAAGCCAAGAAAGAACAGTGGATCAAGCTGATCACAGAGGTCGACATGGGCAGGAGCAGCCAGAAGGCGTGGAGGTTGCTAAGACGGCTGAGCAATGACCCCTCACAAACTAATACCCATGCCAACATAAAGGCAGATCAGATAGACACCAGCTCTTGAAGAATGCGAAACCCAACCTTGCCACCAAAGTAGGAAAGAAACCAATAGCCAGACAACCAGAGATTGAGAACAACAACCTTCATGAACCCTTTACATCTACTGAATTGGACATGGCTCTCAATAAATGTAAAAATGGCAAAGCAGCTGGCCTGGATGATCTACGGATGGAACAAATCAAGAACTTTGGTCCCAAAGCAAGGCGCTGGCTGCTGGAGCTGATGAACAACTGCACGGTATCCTGTCAGATCCCCAAAATCTGGAGGAAAGCAAGAGTCATCGCCATCTTGAAGCCAGGCAAAGACCGTAATGACCCAAAAAGCTACAGACCAATCTCCCTGTTGTGCTGGCTGCACTTAATTCCCACCATCAAATGTTGGTGTCTCACGACAACTGAAAGCGTCCAATCTTTCTGAGGATAAATGCACATTCTCAAGTTTTGAAAGACATTAAAGTGCTCTTTTTTGCTTCTGTGCCTAAAAATTATTTGGGCAACTTGCAGCCCTGGACTCAGTTTAAAAGGCCTACTTCAGGCAATCTATACTTTTCCAGGGAAAAGGTCACTTGCTTGTTTTTGGTTCTGTCCCAATTGACCGATTACACATAGGCTGGGGACAGATTTATACGGAGAGAGTGCAAGATTTGGAGAAAAGTTCTTCTCCATCCCAGGGACCAGAGAAGTCATTTGTACCCCTGCTTCCAAAAAACTGACCAGGAG